CTTAGAAAATAAATATCCTTTGAAACCTCCTACTCCTCAGAAAGTTCAAACCCCTTATTTTTATCCCCACATCTCTCTCTTGCTTTAAAAACAAGTCCTGGCAGGCCTCTGAGCTTTGGCATTTTGATTTGCAAAGCTGTTTGATCCTGAGCTGTCCTCCCTGGATGGGTTCCAACCCTGACTTTTCAGAGCTCCCCCAGCACAGCAGACACCCCCCTGCCTGGCTCTGTACCATGGGACCTACCCCATCAGGGGCTGGAGGTGGCTCAGCGGGAGAACAAGATCACGCATGCTCATGCTTGGCACTCTTCAGACCTTTCAGACTGCTTCTGGGGCCAGCCTTATAGGGGGATATCTGCTTGGGAACTATGTAAACCACGCAGCTCACACTAGGATTTACAAGGCAGCACTGACCTGCTTCCATAGAAACCCTTATCTCTACAACCAACCACACAGCAAAGGACTAAAGGTTGTTGGGTGATAAAGGGTCAGCCTAGAGATGCTGCTTCTCATTATGTCTATTTTCCTAAGCATCGCAGAACACATTACAACTATGACTGGATTCTTTAGGGTGGAGCCCAGCCTGTGGGGTGTGGGTCTGGGGTGACCAGGAACACTATGGTGATGCTCCCCCACCAAGGAATGAGACAGCACATTAACTTAGGGTAAGAAGAGAAGCCTCTGGGCCTGTGTCTCACTCACTAGGCCCTAGGGAATCCCTTGAGCTCCTTAAGGCCCAGCTTGCCAGTGGCAATGAGAGGGCTAATTGTGTGGCTTGTGACCCTAGTGACCACACAAGATGTAGTTAATGTAATGCTTGGCACAGTGAGCACTCATTAACCAAAGCCACTGCTATTCTAACTTAATCACAGGAGAAGAGATGTAGTGTGCTTCCTGGGGTTATGACTGGAATGAGTCCCTCATGCACTGCATTGGAAACGTGATTTCTGATGCACCAGTGCAAGGAGGTGGAGCCCCAATAAAAGGGGACTGGCCCCCTTGTGAGCAAACCGAGGTGACTATCAGGAGAGTGGGTCAGTTTTCTCCAGTGTTAGGAGTGCAACTTGGGGGATGGGACTCAGTGGGTGAAGTGCCTTCTGTTAAGCATGAGGGCTTGAGTTCAAATTGCACCACACCCAAGCAAAAGCCAAGCATGGTAGCAGGTACATGCCTGGAACTCCAGGGCTGGGCACAGGAATGGGATTTTGTTGGCAGAGACAAGTGATTTCCCAGGAAATCAAGCTCTTGGTCCAGTAAGAGAGAGCGAGCTTGCTTTTTTTTTTTTTTTAATTTTTATTTATTTATTATGTGTACAGTGGATGTGTGCTTGCGTGTATCCCTTCAGGCCAGAAGAGGGCGCCACATCTCATTACAGATGGTTGTGAACCACCATGTGGTTGCTGGGAATTGAACTCAGGACCTCTGGAAGAACAGCCAGTGCTCTTAACCTCTGAGCCATCTCTCCATCCCTGCGAGCTTGCTTTATAAAAAAAAGGATAGAAGATACTTGAAGTCAACCTCTCTCTCACATCATGTGCACACAGATGAGCATACCCACCCACACGTGTATACACATGTATAACACACACACACACACACACACACACACACACACACACACACACACCAGAGTGTAAGTTGGATCCCCTTTGCTTTTTCCTATGGCCTTCTCTTGCCATTCTGCTTTTTTACCATAGACATAGTCCCCGCCACAGGCCTGAACCATGGTCTTGGACTTTGTAACTTCCAGAACTATGAGCCAAAGGCATTTCTGCTAAGTGTTTTATCCAGGTTGTAGTCTTCTGTTATAGTAGCTGAAAACAGACTAAGACACTTGTCCATGATTTTCAAGGCAAATCTAAGAATCTTGAAAGTGAAGACATTGGAATTCCTGATTTTTTGTTTTGTTTTTGAGACAGGGTTTCTCTGTGTAGCCCTGGCTGTCCTAGAACTTGCTCTGTAGATCAGGCTGGCCTTAAATTTACAGAGATCCACCTGCCTTTGCCTTCTGAGTGCTGGGATTAAAGGCGTGTTCCACCACCACCTAGCTGGAAGTCCTGATTCTAATTCTGCATCCTTTGCAGAATCCCTGGATGCTCACAGGAGGCATTATTTCTTGAGAGAAATAAGAATGTCTTATTATTCATTCAATTTTATGTGCATGACTGTTTTGGTTGCATGAATGTACTTGCACACATGCATACTTGGTGCCTACAGAGGTCAGAAGAAGGTGTCAAATCTCACAGAACTGGAGTTACAGAAAGCTGTAAGCTGTCATGTAGATAGATGCTGGAAACTGAACCCAGGTCCTCTGCAAGTACAACACATGCTCTTAATCACTTAGCAAAGTCTCCAGCCCCAGGAAAAACACCTTTTGTTCATATTTCAAAACCTGAAAGCAGCTTTCTTGTGACCCCCGCCTCCTTCCTGGCACTATGCCAGAACTGGCCCCTGGAAAGGCACAAGCCTTCAGGTCATGCTGGCCACCTGTCATTTTCCAACCCAACCCAAAGCTTTTCAAAGTCATCTCCAACTGTTTCAAGCATTCCTCACATTTCAATGTCTCCAAACAAGTCCCACAAGCATAACGTGACTGGAACCCTCACACCACGTCTTTTCCCAAGGCCCTGCCTGGGGTGATGGCTGCTGCTACCACTCCGACTATCATGCTTTGCAAAGTGCCATCCTGGAGGTGTCTCTGTCTTTACCTCAGACAGTATTGTTAGCCTGAACTCACCCTTCCAAGGACTCTGAAATGGTTCTAAAAAATGAGTAGATCACAATGCCTTCTTGCATTTGAAAGTATCCAAAAGCTTCAAGCTCCTAATTAATGGAAAAACTAAAACTATACAAAGTCCATTTGGTTAGTCTGTGGGGCTGGGGGTTGAATTCTGGGTCACGCTGCCAGTGCACCACACCCCCAACCCCAGGACTTTAAAACGGTTTAAGTGAGGAAGCCTCTGTACTTGTGACACAAAGTCTAGAAGCCACACGATCAATTTGCATGTAAATATAGATTTGATCAGTTTATACTCTAAAAAGCGACCATAGGATCAAAAGGGAGTGGAGAAAAAAAAAAACTGACCATCTTATCACAATGGGCTATCTCCTTAATAAAGATCCTAAAATCAGAGGGAAAATGACCAGTGTTCTTGAAAAATGGTAGAAAATGTAGATCTTAACAGATGTTCCGCAGGAAACACAACTGGCCCTTAGACACAAAGATAGATCAGCGGGATAGCGGGATCATCAGTCTCCTTTTACAATCTGCCAGAACGGCAGACATCAAGCTGTGGGGAGTGGCTGTGCTGGTGAGGGAAGGCAGCCCCGGTCACCTGCGGGGTAAAAACCTGGCGACGTCCACTCCAACTTAAAATGCTAATGTCTGGGGCTGGAGAGATGGCTCAGAGGTTAAGAGCACTGACTGCTCTTCCAGAGGTCCTGAGTTCAATTCCCAGCAACCACATGGTGGCTCACAACCATCTGTAATGAGATCTGGTGCCCTCTTCTGGCCATACATGCTGTATACAAAATAAAATATCTTTAAAAAAAAAAAATTAAAAAAAAAAAAAAAAAAAAAAGCTAATGTCTTTGACCAGACAGTGTCAAGATGGCCCACATACACGGGCCTGTAGGTAGGAGGACAGCCTGAGGTCCTGTCATCTGGATGTGGGAGTGTCACCACCCACCACAGCATGCAGCCAGGGTCTGCCATTCAGGCAGGAACAGCGTAGGGCAGGGGCATGGCAGGAGGTGCCTGGGATGTGTCGGATGGACTCAGTGAGGCGCACAGGCCAGAGTGATGCAGCTGTTTTAAAATTTTAAAAGACAATAAAGTCCTCTTTATTATTATGAAGGATGCCAAGAGTGGAGTGACTTGCATGTTTTGCTGGGCCTAAGAATATCCCATAGTTTATTAGTGTTCTTTTGGGAGGTATCCAGCTGTTTACTTTTTCATGAGTGAGATCACTAACCTTTACCTGAAATGAATCCACTTCTTTATTTCTGTCCTGTGGATTTGGTGCTTCGCCTCTGTGGGTCTTTAAATATTCAGGCCATCAGCTACAGAAGAAAGTGAGCAGAGGAGACTCTGCCACGGACTGGGTGGCAGTGTGGGAAAGCACAGGGTTTTCCATGCCCTCCTCGGCAATAACCACCTCCGGGCTCTGGTCCCGGGTGACTGTTTATCTGGGAGGACCCTTTCCGGCTCTATCTTTTTTGGACACCTTATACACACTGGTCACCAGCCCCTCCAAGGTTTCATTAAAGGGAGACTACCAGGCTTACTTTGCTCTGCTTCTGGGGTCTCCCTACTGCCTTGGAATTGGGGTCCCCCTGACCACCCCGCTCCCCCAGGGATGTCAGGTCTTACCCAGGCTCCCTCCTACCCTGTCACCTGTGGCGTTACTGCTTCTGTAGTGAGAAGCCACCCAAGATATCAACCACAGCCCTCCAATGCAGGCTCCTCTGTACAGGGACCAGCTTCTTCGGGGTCATGAGGCCAGACCCTCTTGGAGAGTGGCATGAAAAAGGTGTTGGAGAAGTGAGAGCTGGCTCTTTGGAGTCTTCATTGCCCACTTGGTCTGCAGAACCCTTCCCTCTGCACTGGCCAGTCCAAGTGGCATTCTTGCTTGGTGTAAGAGGTGGGGGGTAGGAGGCGTTTCTCGGGACCAGTCTTATTAACACCAGACCTTGCGAATCTATCATAGGCTGGGAGCCTTTGGGGTATCAGTGGACCCACTGTCCTTCCCCAAGCACGTGACCCTCTTGGAATCATTGTTGAACCCAGAATGACCTAGAGATGATGGACCCAGAGCGGTCCCTGGTCAAACAGTCACCATGTCTCAGGAGGGGGAGGAGCTCAACGGAGAGCTGGGACAGGTTGCCCCTGGACCCTGAAACAATCTAGGCCTTGGGTGGCCCTGCTGTTGCTGGTTACTGCTACCACCTGCTGGGCAGGCTTTACATGCTGGGTGCTCACTCAGGAGGCAAAGGAGAGAAACCCTTGTAAACCTTTATTCGGAGTAGAACGACATCGGCTCAGCTTATTCTATAGACTGTACATTCACCGAGGGGACCACAGGGAGCCAGCTGCAGCCCAGGGAGGAGGGCGGGGTAGAGGGCAGTATGGTTCCAGGGCTGAGCTTTCCGATCCGCCCCGCTGGTCTGCAAGTGGCTCACAGCAGTAATACATTCACGGGGACATAGTTGTGTCCAGAAAGGGGGCTCAGTTTTCACATAAAGCACTCACAGCTCACAGGGTAGTGCTTGAGTGCACAGCCCTAAGTATTCTTATAGCTCTGCTCATAACCGTATGCTCGGCAAAGCTGGAACACTGGGTCTGTAAAGAGGCACTGTTCCAGCCGGGCGGTGGTGGCGCACGTCTTTAATCCCAGCACTCGGGAGGCAGAGCCAGGAGGATCTCTGTGAGTTCGAGGCCAGCCTGATCTACAGAGCATCCAGGACAGGCACCAAAACTACACAGAGAAACCCTGTCTTGAAAAACAAAAAACAAACAAACAAACAAACAAAAGAGGCATTGTCCCACCTTCTTCCTACTCAGTGTCCCCACATCAGTTAATGCTATACCATCCAAAGATGGAACAGTAGACCTCCAGTAACCTCATGTCTATCCTGAGGAAGAGATGTACACACTCAAGATGTGCTCCCCTGGAGACTGTACTGTGTCTGGGCCAGCCGACTCCAGCTCCCACAACTCTGGGAAAGCAGAGAGAGGCCTAGCTCACGAGGGAACAGGGACTGGGAGACAAAACAAGACCCACGTCACAGAAACACACAAAAGCAGCCACAATCCCGCAGATGGACGGGATAGGAACAGGGCTGCATCCCTATCTCAGTCTGTGCCCTGGGCCCCACCTGGCTCCCTGCACACTGGGAGGCAAGGCAGGGAGATGGCCTCAGGCCAGGCAGCATTCCTACCCCGGCCCTGCCCCAGCTAGTGTGGTGTAGGGGGCTAGTGCATGGGCCATGTCCCAGGCCAATCTGCAGGAGATGAAACTGCAGGCCGAGGAGGGTCCCAGCCAGGGGCAGGCTCCTCAGGGAAGGTGTCACTTCCAGGACAGAGGGGTCCGTGGAGTTGGGAGCCTTGGAATTCCGGCTAGGGTGGGGACTGGGGCTTGGCTGCTACAAGGCAGGAATCTTCTCTCTCTTCAGGGAGTCGATGTAATGAAAAATGGCCCCCAGAGCCCAGCTGGTTTCAACGTTGTCAATTTTCCGAGCCAGCTTGAAAAGACCAAGAAAAGGAAAGGAGAAGGTCAGAGGCCTGAGTTACAGAGCCTGGGTGCATCTGCGGAGGAAGGCCGTGGCTGAGGAAGCTATACACAGTTTTGGGCTGTTTCTTCACAGCAAGGACGGGAGCGGGAGATAAAAATGCAAACAGCAGGGCCAACAGTCCCCGGCACCCCATCCCACAAGTGGAATGTGGAATCCAAGACACAGTGCTTACCTTCAGCACCTTATCCCTGGGAAAACCAAACTCATGGAGCAGCAGGCTGATGTAGGTGAGGTCCATGCAGGCAAAGGGGCTGCTTGGTGGCTGTGTCTCCAGGGTGCGGCATACTGGGAGAGATGCCCGTGCCTGGTCATGTTCTAGACCAGTGGTAGTTCTTAACCTTCCTAACGCTGCAACCCTTTAATGCATTCCTCACGTTATAGTGACCCCCAACCATGATATTATTTTCATCGCTACTTGATAACTGTAACTTTGCTACTTCGTTGTTGTTTCAAGACAGGGTTTCTCTGTGTAGCTTTGGAGCCTGTCCTGGAACTCGCTCTGTTGACCAGGCTGGCCTCGAACTCAGAGATCCACCTGCTTGTCTCCCAAGTGCTAGAATTAAAGGCATGCGCCACCACTCAGCTAATTTTGCTACTGTCCTCAATTGGAGATAGAGGTTTATCAAAGGGGTCATGCCCCACAGGTTGAGAACCACTCTTCGGCAGTCTGGGGTTGGGGAGGAGGCAACCCTGGCCCCACCCATGTGGGTACCCACCTTGCTCTTCACTTCTGATTTACTGTCAATCTGCACTGTAGTGACCCCACCGGCAGGCCCGGAAGCCAGTCGCAACCTCCACTAGGCCTGGACGCCAGGACCAAGACAGACTTGAGTGTCTTACCTTGGGGTAACAGTGGAACCTCCCCCTCCCTCGGCCATACCTCTGCATCTGAGACCCTTGACACTTCCCAGATGTCAACATTACTAGAATCCAGCCTTTCTAAGACATGAAAACCACACTAAAGCTGACTCCAAATCTACGTGTGTGTGTGTGTGTGTGTGTGTGTCCTTGTGTGGGCACAGAGGAAAACAGCTGGGGTCCTGCTGTATCACTCTACCCTATTCCCTTGAGACAAGGCCTCTCATTTGAACCTGGAGCTCGGCTGGTGGCCGGCAAGCCTCAGTGATCCTTCTGTCCTCTCCCCCACAGCCTGGGCTTTGCAGGCACAGGCAACCACACCCGCTTTTTATGTGGATTCTGGGGATTTGAACTCAGATCCTCACGCCTGTGCAGCCAACACCCTTACACCATTTTTACCGCTCCCCGAGTCTATTCTTGATAGAGGGGCAAATCAATCCATCTAGAGACCCAATGTCTAGGGAAAAGCCAAGAAGTGACTGGAAGGCGTACAAATGCCCTGTTTTTTGGCGTGGGAGGGTGGGAGAGGGAGAGGGGGGAAACTTCCTGTGGAGAAATGCACAAAGCTTAGTTGCTCTGACTAGCAAATTGGGAGCAGCAACCAGAGGAGCTGAATATGGACATGACATCAGTGTTGGGTGCTATGGTGGGGTGACCCAGATGGCTGCAGCAAGGGCATCGGGGAGAGGAAAGGCAACTCAGTGAGACGCCAGGATGCTGCCACAGCAGGTGCCACGGTCCTGGAACCCCCCACCTCCTCAGGGCCATTTGACCATCAGGAAGAGGTTGTGACCATCCCAGGGAAGATTCTCTTGGGGTTACTTTGGCAGCAGAGAAAAAGTGTCAGAGATCTGAGATGAGGGACCTGGTGTCCCAGAGTCCTGTGGCAGGCACTGGAACTGTGGCCCTTAACATCTGGGGATACCCTCCATCGGGAGGTTGTATCTGGGGTTTAGGCCCTGGGTGATGCTAGTACACTTTGAACCCCGCCCTTACACACCGCTCAGGACTGGCTAACGGACAGAATAAGGTACTAAACCCAGCAGTTCTGGGCCTTGTGCCCATCACGAGCGCACGGGGTTTCTGCTCCCATACCCCCTTCACCTGTCACCCTGACAAGTGCAGCACCACTCACCATACTTGGCTGCTGTCTCAAAGTCTCCGACTACAAGGCTGCCTCCTTTCTCTGCATCTGTTGGATAAGATAGACACTGTCAGCCTCGGCAAACTCCACTGGCTGACTGGTTACCCTGTCCTGGGTCCCTGGGTCTAGAAGAGCCCCTCAGTGCAGGTTCAACCTCTTCCTCAGAAAGAGGGCATGTGGCCACCCATCCCGGGTGGCTCCTGAGCTGAGTGAGGCTACGGGGTAAAGCGAGGCAGTAAACCACAGAGAGTGAGTCTAGCGGGATCTGTATCCACAACAGATCCTTTCTGTTTTACTAACTGGCTCAAAGGAACTAGCTTACCTATGAAAAGGGGCTTATAACTTCCTGCCTCTCTCTCACCTTGCCTCCTCAGCCCACTCACTTCACCCAGACCAACAAAGCCACTACAGGCTAGCATCGGCCCTCTGCCCAGACTGACCCGGCCCTTACCTATAAGACCAAAGCTTGCTGCAAGGTCATAGTAGTAGGAGAAAGCATAGAAGTCCACATGCTGGGCCTCTTCCGTCCTGTGCACTTTGTTTCTGAGGATTTCTGACACTCTGCTGGCACACAGCTCATAGAGGCCCACTGCAAAAGGCAGGAGGAAGCACCCAGCCAAAGTCAGCAAGGCCAAGGCACATAGGTCACACAGCTCGCATCCATGTGAACCAGGCTAGCCACACACCAAAGGCGGACATGCCGCATGTCTTGTGTCCAGCCTGGGAATAATAGCCCAGTATTTCTCCTAGAAGAAATTCAAAGGACCCAGAATAACAAGACCAGGGTGAAGGCCAGTGACAGGGTGGCGGAGGCTGTGTGTGTCCTGGGCTGCTGGCAGGAAGCAGCTTTCACTTCTCTCTGCACAGAACTGGCCAGAGCAGGGCTCCTGGGCCAGGAGCCCAAATGTGGCCATTTGTCTCAGGCCCCAGGGCAGCCGGTTCCTTCCTCACTGGAGTTTTGTTGGGAAACTGGGCTATTTGGAAAGAAGTGTTTGGTGACAGACAAGGAGACTTTGTGCAGAGACCCTGAAGAGGGACGTAGCCAGAGGAGGCCCCAGCTCTCAACAAAAACCTTCACAGTCCTGCCACGGCTCTCGGTTGCCTGCACTCTAGGGGAAGGGACAGTCTTGTCTGTATTGGTGTCTGCTTTTTAGAGGTATCCGGAAAAGGAACGGGGGGAAGCAGACTACCTTTGACCCCAGTGAGCCTGAACAGCAATGCTACCTACCTGCCTTCTGTCCTGAAATTCTATAGGTGACCTCAGCATGCTCCCACTCTCCTCTGAACCGGGGAGACAGACAGGGGCTGACCAGTTCTTTGTCATCCTCAGCTGCAATAGAGAGATGACCATGAAAGGAAGAAAGAGACAGTGCTGTGTCCATTACACAGAGCTTAGAGGACTGGGTGGGCCCGACAGAGAATGCTAGAGGCTATAACAGGGTGCTGGGGGACAAGGGGACCTGACTCCCAGGGCAGTCCAGGGCAGTCTGGGCCAGCTGGAGAAAACCCCTGCTCTGTCACAAGGGTGGCAGCCAATCTCACTTGCCCAGAACCATGACTGTGGCCCTGGTGAAATGCATCTGTGGGCATCTGTGGTTCCAGATGCTGGGCCTAGTGTTACTTCACCGGTTATCACAATGACACTATTTGGAGGAGACCGTCGCAACCCAGTTTTACAGATGGCCGAGGATGGCAGTAACTGACAGCTTGGTAGGAAGGCCAGGACAGGTGCCACCCGGTGCTACCATTCTACAGAGTGAGTCTGTGCTCCCCAGCATGAACCAGGCCCAGGAGCTGTGTGCTGAAGTGTCCAGCCTTTAGCATTACTGAGGTGGGGTGAAACCTTTGGTAGGTGGAGCCTAGGGGAGGAAGTTAGGTCACCAGGGTAGATTCTTGAAGGGATACTGGAGCCTGACCTTTTCCCTCCTCTGTCTCCTGCTGCCAGCAGGGGGACAGTGTCCTCTGCCACACGCTCCCACCATGATGTCCCGCTTCATGGTGCCAAAGGCAACACATTTAAGTGATGATGAACTTAAACCTCCCAAACCATAAGCTGAACAAACTTCTGAGTCATTTGTCTCAGTTCCTGTCAGTGACAGAGAGCTGACACACGAGGTGATTCTAAATGCGGGTGACACGGTTCAGAAATTATTTCCCTACTATCTCTCCTTTTTTAAATGAAAAATTTCCCATTTTATGTACATGGTTGTTTTGCCTGCATGTACGTGGGTATAACACATGTATGCAGTGTCTGCAGGAGCTAGCAAGAGGGTGTCAGATCCCCTGGGACTGGAGTTACAGACAGTTGTGAGCTGCCATGGAGGTGCTGGGAATCGAACCTGGGTCCTTCAGAAGAGCAGCCGGTGCAACTACCCACTGAGCCATCCCTCTAGCAACCTCATAGCTTCTCTTTTAAGAATGGTAACTTAGAAGGTTGTACAAAGGTAAACATGTCACCCCATAGTCTGTCTTCTCTGTGATAAGGTCTGGGCCCACCCCATCCAGGCTGGCCGGGTGGGGCAGTGGCTGATACACTGCTGTGTAGCAGAAGGGGAAAAAGGCACCGGGAGTAGGGACAGAGCCTGGAGCAAGTGTTCTACTCACCAGGCTTCCCCTCCACACCACCCAGAATAGCCAGTCGTGCCGACATCAGTCCCAGCCCCAGGTAGCTGTGGAGACAAATCCTGGTGAGGCTGGGCTGCGCATGCTCCTGCCCGGGCTTAGTGGGAGTGAGAAAGGTGTTCCTGCTTCTTCTACGAGCCTTCCACCAAGGCCGAAACATTAAGTCATTGAACTGGGAGCCTGTCATGAGCTCTTATGGAAGCTGTGCGCGTGGCAGTGAAGGAGACAGATCCCATCTGTTTTTATGGGGTTCAGGAAGGATCTATTGCAAGTGCCGTGTGGCCGGTAGGCAGCCAACTCCTCACCTCTTAGTCTTTCCAAACCTCCCCCAAAGTGGAACAGAATGAGGAGAAAAGAAGAACGCGATTTTACAGGAAATTTAAAAATGAAGCATGCAGGAGGAGAGGCAGGAGAGGCAGGACAAGAAGGGCCCAGGCAGTCACTTGGCACAGGGGATTCTGGGACCTGGCATCTACATGGGGAAAGGGTCCCACCACAAGGCAGCAGTGGGCGGTGCACCAGGAGCAGGCAAACCCACCTGTAGGAATACAGCTTGTAAGTCCTGTTAAACATCTGCAGCGCGGTCAGGTGGCCAGGCGGGGAGGCCTGCAGGGTGCCCTGGGGAGGAACACGAAGCTACTGTTGCCCGGTCTTCCCAGAAGACCAAGCCCTCCTCCCTGAATCATTTGGAAGAACAGGGACATTTAATGAACTTTCCATTAAGTCTTTGGCTATGAAATGAGGAGCAAGTGGTAAAAAACCAAACCATGCAGAGTGTTTCCCCTTAGAAGCTTTTTTTCTGTTTTTCTTTCCATACTAGGGATCAAACCAGGGCTTCTAGGTACTTAGCCAGTGAGCAACATCCTCAGCACATCATCATCATCATCATCATCATTGTTTTGAGACAAGGTCCTGTTAGCTTGTCCAGGCTAGCTTTGAACTCCAAATCCTCCAACCTCAGCCTCCACAGTGCTGGGATTACAGGTGGACAGCACTGGACCAGCTGCATCTTGCACCTTCTGGCACACATAGTCCAATCAGACCAGACCAGCGTCTGTCTCTAATAATCTGAATAGGACCACAGCTTCAGGTACTAGGTGTGTACGAGTGCATTTATTTACACACTGTTCCACTGGAAACAAGATGTGATTGTTAGTAAACAGTGTGGGTGACGAGAGGTATTTAAAATAGCAGACGCCATTAAACGCAAGTGTTTCTATCTCTTTAGAACACTTATCTTGAAGAAGGCTGAGCTCCCCAGCCCCCATGAGCCATACTGTCCACTCTTGCTCCTGGAACTTCGTGGGGGATGGGAGGTGTCTAGTCTCAAGCCCAAAGCCTCCTAGTCATCATTTGATTTCACCGCACTGGTTTCTATTTGGTTTTTAGCGTGTAATTAAAATCTAAGAAGCTATCCGTGAGAGAACCCAGAGGGGTGGAACGCCTGCCAGTGGCCAGGGGGCCTTCTCTGAGGGGCCTCCTCTGGGTGCCTGCAGCTCCCTGACTGCGATGCACACACCTGGTGAGGCAAGCAGGGCTGGTTACCTCGACACGCGGGAGGAAGGTGATCTGAGTGGATCCACCGCCCAAATCCAGCATGCCCACACTGCTGCTTCCTGGGCTTTTCAGACTGCCTAGATCACAGTGAGTGAGGACAGTGTTAGGAAGGATATGAGAACGCCAGGGAGATCAAAGAGAGGTCAGAAGCCGCCCTTCAGTGGGGTGGGGTGGGGGGAGCAGGAGGCTGTGGAAGCTGCTGCAACTACTTAAAAAAAAATAGCAACTTAAAAGTATCCAAGAGCCCTGGCTCTACCAGCTGTGGCTTTGATGTGAGTGACAGACGACTCTGACCACTGAGAGAAACGCTCACACTGGCCTGTCTTCTGGCAAGGCCAGCCTCAGCTCCCAGGGAACACCAACTTCTTCGCTGTTCTGACACAGGTCTTCCCTACAAGGCATTCTCGTTGACTAGCCCCATCTCGGATTCTGTTCTCCCAAAGCATCTGAGGTAGCCATCCCCTACCTATCCACCAGTGTCCTTCTGCCCTCAAATCGGTGAGACCTGCCAGGAAACCCCTTTTTTCTTTCTACATACAGACACTACCATCCTCCAGTACAGGGGCCAATCTGAAAGTATCTCTTGACGACCCGTTTCCAAGGCAGATGCTTTGGCGGGGTGACCAGCACTCACGTCATATCCAGTATCTGAAGACCTGACTAAGTTTAATTCGCTGCTTCTCTCAGAAACAAACTACAGGTCAAAGTCCCAGTGGATGCTGGGTGTGGCTGTCCTGAGAGAAAAGTAAGGGCCGTGAGGAGCTATGAACACATGTATATCTGGGCTCACACCGCCTGACCTGTCTGGATACGCCGCTACCCCAGTCTGCCTCCAAGCCAGCAACACTGAATCTGGGTGTTATGGTAATGGGGCCTCTGTGCTTCAGGAAGCCTGGCAGGCACTCCTTTCCTAGGGATGGTGAGCCATTAGCCTGTCCCACCCAGTAGACACGCACCTGTCAGGAAGTTGACAGTGATCCATGCTGAAACACCTGTAAAAGAACAGACATTTCAATTCCTTTAAATAAAAAAAAAAAAAAAATTAATGTATTTTTTGTGTATGGGTGTTCTGCTTGCATATATGTCTGTGGATTTCGTGTGTGCCTGGTGCCCGTGGAGGCCAGAAGAGGGGGTGGAGCCCCTGGAACTAATTATGGATGGTTATGAGCCACCATATGGTTGCTGGGAACTGAATCTGGGTCTTCTGTAAGAGTACCAAGTCTCTCTAGACCACATTTTATCTCTTGATACATAGGGCTGCTACCTATTTCCAGATTTCAGGGGCATGGTGGGCACTGCTTGCCATTCCCAGCCTTTAAAAGAGAGGAACAGTATTCACTTAAGAACCCAGGGGCTTGGGCACACACTAAAAACCTAGAACACATTACTAAATGCCATGTCTCCTCCAGGACCTTGTCACCAGCTTCCATTTTTTAAGGAGGCAGGCAAAGAACCCAGTGTTCCCCCCGCCCTCAAGATAAGCTCACTTTTAAGGTCATATTGAAAATTACTGGCCTGGGAGGAACCTCAAGCGTCTGTTTCAGAATGAGCTACATAATCACAATGTTCCCAGCACAGCAGCAACCAGCATTTTCTAGATGTCCTTAAAACCCAAAGCATGATGTTTTCTGAGGTTTTATCTGTACCAGGTTGGAAGCTGGTCAAGATAAGAACCCGTCTTTAACAAACTGGGAACAGGATCTTGACAGGCTAGTTACAGTGCCTCTAGGCCTGGAGTCTGGGCAGCGGCAGCCGAGAGTCATTTGTCTGACTGGGACATGCACTGAGGAGATGCTCATTTGTCTACTGTACCTTCATCTGTGCCATTCATGATGGAAACACAGTCATCCCCTACCAGGAAGGGTGATGCCTGGAATACCTCCTTCACCTAAACGCAAAGAGAAACACTTCTTAGCCTGGCATGGAGCGGTACACTTGTACAGAACTTGGGAGGATGAGGCAGGAGATCTGGAGTTTGAGGTCAGTTTGGTCTACACAATGATTATCTCACCCTCCACCCCAGCCAGGGCAGAAGGATGTGTTCATTCTCCAGAGGCAAGATTAGGAGATTCCCAGGGCACTGTGTGTTCAGCTGGCTAGGGCAGAACACTGAGGGTTCTTCGGTGTTCTAAGACACAAAGATTAAACTGCTTTAAGCTTCTGTGATCTTCTGTGGGGGTGTTCTTGACTGATATCTATAGAACAGCTAAAAGACATGCTACTCCAGGTATCTCGTCTTTAACTGCTGGAGATAGGAGAGTTCTGAGAGAAAAGATGGCCTAGAGAGAGTTGGAATACACTGAGTCCCCAAACATTGCCTGGCTTTGGGTTGAGAGATGAAAGGCAAGAAGCCCTGAGTCAGGGCTTTAAACCTGGGCACCACTCATATGGCCTATGTATATATAGGTGGGGGCACAGACCCAGGGACATGTGCCATCAGAGCCCGGCAGAAGGAGGTGAAGGTGTGAACAACTAGGTATGTTTCTTTCTCCATTTTCTAAGGAGTCTCAGGACATAGAAACTTTGGTACACTTAGTCACCCCTACCTCCCTTGTGTCCTAAGAAGGTGTACTGTGCCACCATCTTGCAGGTTAACAGTATAAGAAGAGTCTAGAAGTTGAGGGAGACCGTATCTTCCCAAACTTGGTGGGAAAATTAGAAATGCGTTCTGGGGTTGAGGATGTAGCCCCAGTATAGAGTGCAAAGTGGCTATGTGGGGACACCAGGTTCCCCAAGAAGCATTGGGGCTGGGGAAGAGGCTGAGGGTCTCTTGGGCAGTCACATCTGAGTTTGGGCTAAGATGCCAGCTCAGTTCACACACCTGGGGGTGCCCTTCAGGAGCACATCACAATTGTAAAACAAAGTAGTTTTCTTAAATGTCACATAGACGATTCCAAACTGTGATACTGTGAACATTCCAAGGATTTTCCCTTCAGGACACCTCAATATCCTGTCTGCTTGACACTAGCTGGAAGGTTAGTGGCTATATTGTTTAGAGACAGGGTCTCACTCTGTAGCTCAGACTGGCCTCTGGTTTGAAACTGTCCTCTTGGCCACCCGGGTGCCGGGGCGACAGATGTGCACCATCATGCCCAGCAGGGTTAGCGTTCTTTAGTGACCCTTTCCCCCTCCGGGGGGAAATGGCTAAGCTCACCTTTTGCAGCAACTTCTGGGCCTTTTCTCCTGGCAGCAGGCGCAAACCAGCTGTGGCCTTGAGGACCAGAGGGGTGGCCTTCCAGAAGTCATAAGGAATGTGTTGCTTAGCAACATTCAGAAGCTCCTGGATCCCCTGAGCACTCTGTGGATGTAGAGAAAGTAAAGCAGGGCTGTTATACAACACTGCCCAGTTACCACCACCCGTTAAAATGCGTATTAAACATATTACCTAATTTAAAAATTAAGTTTGGGGGCTGTGTGTGCATGCATGCACGCACGCACGCACGCACACACGCACATGTTTACATGTAGAGATAGGAGGCTGACTTCCAGGAGTCAGCTCTCACCTTCTGCCTTGTGTGGGCAGGGCCTCTCTCGTCTCTGCCGCTGCAGACTCACTACAGGTTAGCTGACTGAGCACACCGGGCTTTTTAGGTGGGTTCTGGGACTCAAACTCAGGTCCCCAGGCATCTGAAGCTGGTGCTTCTGCCCACCACCCCACCTCCTGGCCCCTTTGTCGGATCTTTCTCAAAATCAGCGGGAGCACAGCATCGAGCAGAGCTGGGCCATCTGTGAGAACACAGGGGGTCAGAACACAGAGGGCAGCCCTCGGTATAGGATGCTGTGGCTGAAGGCAGGTCAAGGGTCGTGGGGCTGAGCCTCCTTCTAGAGTAACCGTCATGCTTTCTGAGCAAGACCCATGCCCTGGCCTGTCACTACCCGTGCTGACTAGTTTTGTGCCAACTTGACACAAGCTAGAGTTATCTGAAAGGAGTCAAAGTCAATTAAGAAAATGCCTCCCCTGGAGAGCCCAGAGACCTCGGGTAGAACCAAACACGACTGGCAAAAACAGACAGACAGACAGATAAACGAAATTATTCCTAACAATATTCTGCCATACTCATAGATTAGTGCCTAGTCCAGTCATAATCGGAGAGGCTTCCTCCGGCAGCTGGTGGGAGCAGATGCAGAGACCCACAGCCAAAAATTAGGCGGCGAGAGAGCCCAGGTTGGAGGTCTCCATTGAGTCCCTCTCCTTGGAGCTTGGGGAACCCATGGAAAAGAGGGGAGAGGAACTATGGGAGCCAGAGAGGTTGAGGGCACCTTAAGAGCATGCCCACTGAATCAACTAAGCAGGGCTCATAGGGGCTCAGAGAGACTGAGGTGGCAATCGTGGAGTCTGCATGGGTCTGCGCTAGGTCCTCTGTGGTTATGTTACAGAGGTTGGCTGAGTGTTTTTGTTGGTCTCCTGACAGTGGAAGAGGCGGGTGTCTTTGCCTCTTTTGCCTGCTTTTGAATTCTTCCTCCCACTGGGTTGCCTTGTCCGGCCTTGACGTGAGGGTTTGCACCTGGTCTGACGGGAGCCTGTTGTGCTGTGTTCTGTTGGTGTCCCTCAGAAACCTGCTCTTCTCTGAGGGGAGGGAGAGATGTGAATCTGGGGGAGAAGGAACTGGGAAGAGTGGAGGGAGGGGAAGCTGTAGTTGGGATGTACTGTATGAGAGGAGAATAACAATTAAAACAAGAAAAGAAAAGAAAATGCCTCCATAAAGTCCAGCTGTAAGGCATTTTCTTACCTAGTGACTGATGGGGAAGGGCCCAGCCCACTGTGGGTGGTACCACCCCTGGGCTAGTGGTCCTGGGTTTTAAGAAAGCAGGCTGAGCAAGTCATGATGGGCAAGCCAATAAGCAGCACCCCTCCAAGGCCTCTGCATCAGCTCTTGCCTCCAGGTTCCTGCCCCGCTTGAGTTCCCTGGCCTCCTTCATGGACTACGATGTGGAAAAGCCCAATAAACCCTTTCACCTCAACTTGCTCTCTGGTCACGGTGTTTCATCACGGCAAAGAAACCCTACCTAAGACATCAGGTGACCTCACAGGGTTGTGATTTCCCTGGCTATCGTGAGCATGGGGGAACAAGTAAATTCCAGGGTCCCTTGTAGAACTGAGTCCCATGAATAACCTCACCGAGGGGGTCACACCACCTGCCAGAGAGCTCAAAGGGTGGCTTGGCATGTAAACAGGGGTAATGGGTAAAGTCTGCCCAAGGGGAAAACTTACCTTCTTTTGATCCAGAACTCCTACTCCACAAATCCACCCAAAGATGCCCTTGTGCACGTGGGTGGTCAAGTCTGTGTTAGATGACAGACTGTCCCTCTCTACTGTGTATGCAAAATAAAAACGAGGACAAGTCTCAAGTATCTATCGGTCCCAGGACGCACAAGTGGCTCTTGAAGGCTCCGTGAGAAAGCAGGGCATGTAGTGGAGGCAGCCCGGACACTCCTCCCCCTGAATGTGCATCACCTACCTATAAGTCGGGTTTTTAAAATCTCACCAGCTTATTACTCTAAACCTGTGAAATTTAATGCGGCTTAGTTGGATGGCTACCCTTGAATCACCGATTCCTCTGGTGTACAGCCAAGCCTTGCACTACCCTGTCTGAAACCACGATGCCCCTGTGGGCTGAACAATGGACTAGCTCAGGGTCTGAGGAATGCTGACATGGACTAAGGATGGTGGCTACTTGCCTAACACATGAGAGGCCCTGGGTTTCAAACCCAGCATTTAAAAAAAATGGGGGGGGGGGAGAATGCCAGGGAAGTCACAACCCTCTGGGCAAGCAGTTTCTGCTTTAGAAGAAGCCCAGGAGTCCTTGGTTCACATATGTTAGTGTATTAAAACATTAGGGACATCAGAAGTCTCGACGCTACATACTTTCAGAAATATTGTTTCACCTTCATGGAATTTTTTCTTACAATTAATTATTCTTTTACGCTTATCTGGTTTATGGCTTTCATAAATTATTTGTGTTTTGTATTTGCTACTTATCTTTTCAGGAACAGGTACTGGAGAGGAAGCCCAGGGTACCAGGCATCTTAGACAAGCACTTTGCCACTGGACTTCTCTGCAGGCCCTAGCCTAACAGTTTAACACTAATGTTCAGTTTCAGTAATTGTTATACCTTCCAGCAGAGGACTGCAGTGAAAAATTAAAATTACAAAGTCACTATGGGGAGTCCTGGCTCAGTATCAGAGCACTGGTCTAGCCTTGGGAAGCCCTGGGCTCCATCGCTGGTTCCCCGTATCACACAGTACTACATAAAACTTACATTACTAATACAAATATTTTAAAGCCCAAATATAACCTTTTCTTTTCATTTTCTTGTTGTATTAGTGTTTTGCCTGAACACATACATGTCTGTGCACCACATATGTGCAGAGCTCACAGAGGCCAGAAAGTGGCACCGGATTCCCTGGGGCTGGAGTTCCAGTAAGTAAGTGCCAGTGGTAGTAAGGTGCCATGTGGGTGCTGGAAACTGAACCTGGGTCCTCTGGAAGAGCACTCAGTGCTCTTAGCCACTGAGCCATCTCTTCGGCCCCCCAATAATGCTTCTGTACGTTTGTGGGTGTGAGCTTCTGAACTGCATATAAGGATCAGGGCCTCATGATGTCAGCACCCTGGTGGGAGAGACCCGCGCTTCTCCCACCTCTCTATCTTGCGGGACACCCCAGGGTCAGGGCCTCATGATGTCAGCACCCTGGTGGGAGAGACCCGCACTTCTCCCACCTCTCTATCTTCCGGGATGCGGCACACCCCAGGCATACCAGCACCCAAGTCACCCTTCCCTCAGAAGATGGCCAACTGATCTGGTTCAGAAGGGGCTGGCTAGGAAGTCGGTTAGAGAACACTGGAAGGCAAACAGACACAAGATGGTGGTTACCTTTTCAACATCATCTGCGTAAGCAGAAAGCCCAGGCTTCAGTGCTTTGAAGGTTTCATGGGTCAAGGTGGGAGTTTCTAAAGGGAAACGTTTTTAACAGATGTAAGTATGAATATATACAAGGAGTATTACTATATACAGCAGAGACCAGCTGAGGTTAAGAGCAGAGGCCTGACCATGGAGACCAATCAAGAGGGATTCATTATTTTTGTTTAAATTCTGCTATCTAGTACACACACACACACACACACACACACACACACACACACACACACACACATCTGGCACACAGAGGCAGGCTGGGGTGAGTGTGCTTGCGTAGCATGCTAGAGGCCCTGGAATTCCAGCACTGCAAAAAAACCAAAAAAAACAAAAACAAAAACAAAAAAACCAAACAAACAACTCACACCTCAATTCTATTAAGGATAATTTACTTAAATTTTAAGATAATTCTTGCTGATTTAACAAGATAAATGATCTTAAACTGTAAAATAAAAATGATGTCCGTAACTCTGAAATATTATCCTTATATGGGCCATGAACAGGCTTCTGAAGGTTTGTTTTTCTTCTTAAGAAGTTGAGTTTTGATGCCAGGAGGAACAGACTAGATCACAACAAGGAAAGTGTCCAGAGGCATCCTGTGGCCAAAGACACCAGTCCAAAATAGGACTATGTGAATATGAAGGCTGAGGAAGGAAAAATAGAACCAAAAAAGCAGGAATAAAACTTTCTCACAAAGACTATTCTCTTTAAAGACAAACACTGGATTATAACTATTACTACTTTAAACTTAGATTATTTTTTTAAAATTTGGTGCTAGAAATTGATTGGGGCGTCAAATATGCTAGAAAAGTGTTCTAACACTGAGCAAAACCTCCTAACCACACCTGTTACATTTGGCTTCAAAACCAGTTTTGGAGGTAAGTACGTAGATCTGGCATTTAATGTTTAACCATTACAAGGCTAGAGCATTATGTATGCTGTTGAGTCAGCAAGAATTAACTGTTAAATTATTATTGTTGCTGTTTTTCAGACAGGGTTTCTCCATGTAGCCCTGGCTGCCCTGGAACTCCCTCTGTAGACCAGGCTGGCCTCGAACTCACAGAGATCCACCTGCCTCTGCCTCTCAAGGGCTGAGATTAAAGGCCTGCACCACCACACTCAGATTAACTGTTAAAATTTAAAACCTTAAATGAACACAAACTTCTTTTTAATCTAATTTATCCTCAATGACATTTTTTTTCTTTCTTGTAAAGCAAAGTTCTGGCTCAAACATATAAAAATAAACAGTAATTAAATCGGAAGCAAGTAAAACAGACTACTGTAGCTTTGGAGAGAGATACCAGGGATATCATGCTGATAGAGCAATTAATGCCAGGATAGTGTCTGGCCACTAGGGACCTGGATATGGACCCGGGCAAAGCAGAGGGCTGAAAAGCTGGTTGACTGAAGGTCAGATGCACAAGAGGGCAGATTTTAGGGCACCAGATGTGAGAGATGAGTAAAGAGCCAGGCAGCCAAGCGGTCCTGGAGAAAAAGTCTCCACCTTCTGTCTGAAGTCCCCATTCCTGGGAAGCAAAGCTGGCAGGCCTAGCCTGAGGTACAGACCCCTTCCCAGTGCCATGCTAGGCCCTTAGGACCCACAGCAGCAGGTGCTGCAAGGCTCCGTCCCAGGTTTCTGCTACTGTTCTAACTGGCCTGGGCTCTGGGTCCCGTGAGCTTGAGTCTGCAGTTGTTTCCTGCCTTGAGATCTCGAAACATCAACATGACATGGCCCAAATCCCAGGATCAGCCACCAGGCCTGCTATGGACAGGGAGGGCACAGGCAACTAAATGTCCTCTAGGGTCTTACTGCCCATTAATGGTAGCCACTGGTCGTCTCAAAATATAAGAAGAACCTCAGGCTCCTGGGGAATTTAGGTGCACGTGGGCTTTGTGTCCACTGAGTAAGTATTTTTAGCAACTGCAATTTTTCACCCCCAAGTGCTGGTGCTCACACCCAGGGCCTCACGTGCTCTACCGCTGAACTTTGCCTTAATAACTTCATGTTAAGAGGCTTCTGGGCTACTCTAGGGCAGGGGCGCAAGCCCACAGTCTTCTGAAGTCAGGAGTTGTTAAGAGCCTTGCCCTGAGCGAGGGGAAAAGGCAGACCCTATGTCTGAGCCCATAATGACTCATGGTCAGACAGATACCTCCAGGTGGCCGGGCAAACTGGAAGACGTGAATGCGGGTGCCAGTGCTCCCAGCGTCAAACATGATCCCGTAGAAAACCTCGTGACTACGTGTAGCTGAGCCTGGGGAGCTGAAGGCCTGCTGGGTCCACCGCGCCCCTGAGGCAGCCCCGGCAATGGTGAAGAAGGCCTGGGCAGCAGACGCCCGGTGCCACTTGATATAGGCGACATAGATGAACAGGCCCACACACAGCCCGAGGGGGTATGCCACCTTCGTCATCCTCAGAGTCGCATGGTTTGGTATTTTTCTCATTTCTCGGTCTGCTGGGGACTCCGGAGCTGCTGCTGGCTGAAGGGAGAATTAGGCAAATCACATTAGGCTGTAGTCTACAGCGGGTGTCAGAAGTTCCCAGGTCTGGTGACAAAGTATGCAATTCAAAACTGGTCTGCAGCCCCCTCTCCCCCAGAAGTCAGAGGAGACAACTGATTTTCTTGGTGATTCTGGAAGGGATGGTCCAGAACTGAGGGTCATAAATGCTGGGTAACTTCCCCACAAACCACACTGGGACATGCTGCTGATCATATCAAAGAGCCCAGTGTCCACAGATCACTCCGGGTAACAGATCTGCATGTTCCACCCAGTCTTCAAATCTTTACTCACAGAATTCATAGATTATACTTTCAGCAATTTGCTTTCCCAGGGGCTTTGAAAACTGGCCATTCTAACAACTACAGTGAGCCTGAGACAGGTGTGAGACACTGAACTTATTTTTCTGGATGTTTAATGGATGCTGCTTTCATTTATAAGAAACATTCCTGTCGAGGGATAAATGATGTCTGGCACTTTCAAAGCCCATAAAATTCTATAAAAATAAAATAAATTAAATCGATGCCCTCAGTTTTGGTCCAATAAACTCTGAAAAAAAATCAATCATTCACTTTAAAAACTTAATTTTTAACTTTTTTGAAAGGGTGAGTGAGACAGGTTCTTGCTATATAGTCCAGGCTGGCCTCAAATCTCAATCCTCCTGCCTCAGACTCTTCAGTGATGGGAGTCTAGGTGTGTACCATCATCCTAGGATGTTAAAAAAATTTTTTTTTTCAAGACAGGGTTTCCTCTGTGTAGCTTTGCGCCTTTCCT